AGTCATCTGACCTGTCTCCTGGTGAGCTCGTTTGCAAGGCGCGAGCCCTAGCTTCTTCTGAGCCGCTACTATCACGTCTTTCTACGTTCTCTCATTAAAGAGGCACATTGGAGGTTAAGACTCCCGCTACCAACGCAGGCGATGGCGCTCGACTAAGGTTAAGGGCCGAATACGTTGAATTGTGTCATATCACGAGGCGTAAGGCTAAGTTATCAAACGTCCCGTGGGGGATGCTTATTGGACGACCACGAGGTTAGTTATATGATGAACAAAGCCGAGATAATTAAAAGAGAGGAAAAAAAGGTCCCAAGGCTCCCTGTGCAGTAGGATATCAGAGTGATTGAGCGCCCACCAGACAAGGGAGCCCAGTCGTCGAGCGTTTGCTAACCTATTGGCGCAACCTAATTTCTCTGCCAGTAGGGGCCAGACCCTTGTCGGTTAGCAGGACTGCACGATGAGATTTGGGCGAGACAACTGTTTTGGGGGGGCGTTGACAGAGAGGGACATGGCTGATCCGTACAGTGGCCATTTTCAGACCCATCAGCAATGGGCATGGTCCGAGTTGGGAAATCACGGAAGTGAGCCCTGTCCATAAGCTGGTCGAGTAAGCTTTTGACCCAGTTGCTTGGGAAAGGTATGATGATTAGTATGACCCAGATAGGCAGCGCCATTAGACCAGAGAGAGCTGGTTCGCCCTTTTAGCTCGCCTTCTCGTGGAAGGCTTGAGGTCAGAGTGACCTTAGGCCCGCCCTAGGCTGGGGTGCCAAAAGGCTTAGCGACCTGCTAAGGGGATCCCTTTAGTGCGCCACAGGCTCTGTCACTGGACCCTCTGAGCCGTGCCTCGAGCAGCACTGCCAGCAGCTCGCTAAGGCTGGTGCTGTGCTTAGGGCCTGAAGCGGCGGCTCAGCGGCTGCTTTAACGCCGATGAAAATCGGGCGGCATTGAGTCGTTCAAGGCTGAAGGCGTGACTGCTGGTGGAGGGCAGCGGGCGATGATGAAAGATCCATTTGGAATTTCACCGAGTAGAGGGACAGCAGATGGGCCACCACGGGCGTATGTGTTGTATTTGAGAGTGAACTGGTAGGCCCGCCTCAATCATATCGGTAGATTAAAGGGTGATATTCAGGGTCGCACGTCAGTCAAGTCCTCCACTTAAAAAAAACTTGACCGTCTTGCCCAGCGAGCATCCGGCCAACCACCAATTGCAAGGAGCTACCTCTTAGCGAGGGGATATCTTTGAAGCATCATGAAAGCAGGATACTATGTCTGGATGGCTCTTGCCACCTCCAGGGAAGTTCTTGTGAGGGAGGGAAGCCACGATGCCGAGGCGGGGAAGTACGGGCCACTTACAAGGCAGACTGAGGCATCAAGGCAGTGGCGATTGAAGACTGGTCACGTAGTTCTTGCCGTTCCCAGAACAGCATTCTCCCGGGCATGTGCTGCGTACTAGGTAGATGCCTATCTCCACGTACCGTGGTTGCGTAGCTCTTAGGAGATATACACAATTCACTACGTAGGTAGGTACCTATCTGCCAAAGACCACGATCATGTTACACGTCAAATAGGAAGGTAGGTACCTCCCAACCTCAATACCACCCAAGGAAGGGAGTTTCAATGTAAAGGTGCCTTAGCCTTCCTCAGCCCGTTGGATCGCCGCCAGGGCACTGGCTCCAGTCGTGTTTTATCTGCGGGTGTGTGAGATACCCTTTCCTCACTTGCTGCCCCGACATGGCCACGCGCAGTCATCCAATTGATTCAGCCGGAGGGGCTCTGGGGAGCACGATGACGAAGGTTGCTGAGATCTAATTTCCTCTTGTGGTATCATCAACATACTGGGCCACTCAAGGGAGGGCCGTGATGCCCATTGGACTCTCACCTACGTCAGTCCAACAAGCCGAGCATCATACAATATGGGACCCTGGGACGGGACCCTGGGACCCTGCTGATGTCAGTTTCCTCGATTGTCCCCAAGGTTCACGGGATGAATCCATTCGCTGGGCCATGTGCATAGCAGCGGGTACGTACAATCAATCAACCACGTTCGAATCCGAAACGCACCGCCTGGTCGCTACTGCTAGCCGCGGCGTACCAGTTGTATGCCGCCTGCTCATCTCCTCCTATTTGATCGGCAATTTTCAACGGCGTGGATTGCGTTCTCTCCTCTCCCCGATACATAGGTACTGTAGATGGGGCGAATCTACATGTGCATTCATTGGGCGGCGATGATTTCCAAATGACAGACCCATCATCAACCAACTAGCCATGACATAAGGAGGAAGACCCCCTCCAAGAACCGCAAGGACGGCCCCACCTTGCGCATCTTGGTGTGCGAGCGCTATGACAAAACCGGTATCGGGCCTTATTTCTTTACGTCAGGGATGTGGAGCCCGCGCCAGGGTCAACTGGCCCAAACGCTTCTGAACACCTCCACAGGGTGTGCTTACAGAGCTCTCGTGAAGTAGCTGTAGTAGACGTCAAGGTATGGATGGATGGAGGGATGGATGTATGTGTTGGGACACTGTGCATTGTATCTAATGCTGTGTTGTAGTGACTCTCCACTTATTCCTCTGTCATGGTAATGCCCTCGTGGGGAGATGAATGGCACTGCGCGCGCGCGAGACATTTCGCCGCTGTCGGTGCAAATTTTTTTGTCGCCCATTGTCGAAAATCAGCCACTGACACAACGCATAATCCGCATTGGAGGGAGGATGAATCGGGTGCAGTTGACAGCTGCCGCCCAGCTGGAGGTGCCTATCTGATTGCCCGCTTGGCGAGCAAGCCACCTACCTAATTACTTAACCTAAGATGTCAAATCCCCCGCCTTTTGATCTTCGTTATTTCCACGCCGCAAATCATAGCGCCTTTGACAGCGTTGCGTGCTTTTCATTCGTCTACTCGCGGCGAGCTAGGGAAAAAGGGGGGCCCTACCCAGTACATAGCACACTGTCTTATGACACCTCGGGAGGTACCTGGAGCAGAGCGATGCAAAGGTGCAGCTTTTTGCCAGTGTACCTAGTGCCCCGTGCCCCCCCTGCGGCCTGCTATGTACACGCTGCCTGGGAAGGTACCTGGTCGTTGAGCTGGTCCACCACCGCGCTGTGTTGTGCTCCGCTGTGCTGTGCTGTGCTGTGTTGGGAACTGAACTGGGGGCAAAGGAGTCGGCCAGCTCGCTCCCCTCCATCTTGCTGCATTGCACGCGACTCTGTGACTGGGCTGGCCTTGCCTCGAGCCCTCAAAACTCCCAGTCCCTGCATGGTTAGCTGCCTCCTTCGGTGACCAGCCTTCGTGCGCCAACTGCCGGGTGATCTACCAATATTCCACCAGATACGCACACCTGTAAACATTCTGATCTGGTACATGGGCTCTTGGTGCTACGCTGAGCAATCTCTCCAGCCTGCCTGCATCAGTGGCATTCCGCTGCTGGGGGGTAGGGGGAGGGGACGAACTGCCGGCGTACCCACGCTGGCCTTGCTCGCCAGTCCTGCGAGGACGGAGCGCACCAGAGGGACCAGAGGAGCCAGAGGAGCCAGAGCCCTCACTCGATCCATTGCAGCTGGAGCCAGCGCATTTAGCCTGCCTCGACCCGGTGCTGTCTGCCATCTCTCCTGTCTGACAGTTCTCTGGCCGTCTGTCTGTGCGGACAGCATCCCTACCGCTTGTAGCACAGGCTCCACACAAAGGATCCTTGATCCCTGGGAAAGCCTCCCATCCTTATCCCCCGATCGCTGAGTCTGTCTGAGTCGCTCTCCTATCCACACCCCTACCAGCCAAGTCCCACACCGTCCGTCCGCCCACTGTCGACATCATGCCCAGGCAACCTTTTTTGCTCTGGTGCCGGTAGGTAGCTTTGGCCCCCCAACCAGGACCAAGGAGATTAGGTACGTACAAGAGATACCTCCCAAGAGCAAGCTGCTTCTGGCAAAGATAACATCATATTACAAAGTATTTCCCACTACCTGCCTGGTGTCGCCTCTTGGCCACACAGCAGCCGGAGCCTTGTACATACATGCCCAACAGACGGTGCGGTACCTCTTTGTAACTGCTGTGGGCACGAGCCCGGGAATGACGGACACAGTCTTGCAAGTCCCAATTGCTCCCCCATCGCAGGTGCTCTGCTCGCCCATCTGGCACGGGCAATTGGAGGCTGCCAGTGGAAGAACAGATGGAATAAGACTAGCCTCCCCAGTACCAGAACATTGGAAGCGTTGATCGTTTCGCCTAGCCCAACCCACGACCGAGTGCCGTTTGAAGAAGGGGCTGTCGCACAGCGGCTTTGTTTCTCCCTATACTGTCTAGTCTATACAGTATCAATCGCAGGTACCGTACGGTTATGGGTCCCCTCCCCATTACACTACTGTAATATTCCTACTCCCGTCCGCGTTCCCTCATCGTTCCAACCCAACCCCGGTCGCTGCGGCCTTCGCGAAATGGATATCGGCATGCTGATCACTTTGACCACAGACGGCACACCTCATTTTTCGTTTTCAAGGGACGGGGAAGACTCCACTCACTCCGCTGCCCACTCTCCTCTGGACTTGGTTGACGCACGTCAAGTTGAGGCAACCCAGCCTGGGCACACTTAAGACTTCGCTGATCCCACGTTGGTCCCTACCAAACTCTCCATTCATCTCCAGACAGACGGCCGGGAATCTTTTTGTGTCTGATCTGAGTTACCGACTTGGCTTTTATTCTAGTCGGGATCCCGCAGCTGATCAACAAAGCTCTCTTTCTCGCCCACACTTGTACGCCAAGGCCGGCCCTCCAAGTGTTTTGTCTCTTCTTTGCCTCTACTGCTGTATACACACGACAGAGATAAACAAAGGCGGCTCTACCTCTGCATTCATACACCAGGCACATACACGTGAATACCAATCTTCACATATAACGACACACATTGTCCACTGATACCAACAAAAGGCCACAAGAGCCTTCATTATCCATCCATATCCGCTATTCGTTCGCCGACCACATACGGCTGACTTCGCAACATTGGAAAGAATATGACCATGACAATGGATGCACAGCAGAGATTCGGGCCCGCCATGAATCTCGAGTACCCTCATCACACACAGGCGCCGACGTTTTCGAACCCGTGGTCATCGTCGTCGTCTTCTTCGCAGCCTGCACCAAGCAGTGGTCTCTTTGGTGCTAGCCAGCAGCCTCCACCTTTGAATCCTAACCTGATGGCTGGCAAGCCTCCTCCTGGACGTGCGGGTTCTTCCTTAGGTTCATACGCCACCATGCCCGTCACCACCTCAGCAGGTAATGGGAGCCCTTGATTCTTCAATGCTGTTTATTTTTGTGCCTGTTGACCTGGTCGCTGACTTGCTGGCTCTATAGATCTTCTCGGCATGAACCGTCTGCCCACCACTGCTCCATACGCAGACGCATCCTACACAACATCTGCTGGCCCTGTGGCTGGCCAGTTCCCGACGTCCAGCGCTCCTTATGATGCACTGGGCTACGCTCCTGCTCCAGTGCGCCCTCCTCAGTTCAGCCTCGTCCCTTCTGACGCGGATCGCAAGTACTCGAAGTGAGTGGTACCCCGCTATGTGTCCGAAGTTTGCAAAATACTGACCAAGTAAGCCGTAGCCTGCAGCAGCAACACGCAGACGAGCGCAGAGGCTTCGCTGATGCGCTTGACGCCAGTCACGGAATGCTGGCTATGAGCCAAGAGACCCCCCGCAACATCTATGGGAGCCGCAATGATCGATCGTCGGTTGACTCGTACGGATTCCCATCAACGCATTCAACTAGCTCCTCAATTTCCAGTAGTAACTTCAGCTCCTACTATGGCGACTCTGTCTCTGACTACTCGACTGCCGGCTCAGACGTCGAACAAGTCAACTCGAGGACGCTCCCCCGTCCCCACGGGTTGATGAACCCGCAGATGCCTCCTGCACCTCAATCCATGATGGGTCAGTTCAGCTCCAAGGTGTCGTCCAGCACTCAGAAGAAACACAAGTGCAAGGTGTGCGAGAAGCGATTCACCCGACCAAGCTCGCTGCAGACCCACATGTATAGCCACACTGGCGAAAAGCGTATGTTGTCCTACCTTCGAATTTCCATGGCATTGAAAGCACAATCAAACTAACATGCACCCTAACAGCCTTTGCTTGCGAGGTCGAGGGCTGCGGCCGACACTTTTCCGTGGTCTCTAATCTGCGACGCCACCGCAAGGTCCACAGGGGCGACGCCCGCTCAGAGGCTGGCTCAGAGGACCACCAGTCTGATTAATCCGAACGAGCCAACCACGATAATCTCTTGGCATTATTTTCATAAATCATGAAAGGAGCATGGTGCATCCTTTCATAAAACCGAGCGCGAACGGGGCTGAGCCTTGGATAGGCAAGTCTACCAATGTTTGGAACCAGCCGACCAGGGCGCATTGATTTAATCGACTGTTTCAAACACATAATCAAACATGGCGCGGCCCCAGGTGGCTCGGCATAGAGGACGGGACCAAAAAGGACATATCGTTACATGCGCCAAGCTTGGGCTTTGGCCAACTATTATTATTCTCTACTGACAACCGACGACGACTCACACGACGCTGTGTATATTCCGGGAGTTTTTTACCATTACTTATTTATTCCTTCGTTACTACTATATTTGCTGGATCAAGCGTTTTTACATTTAGCGGGTTGGCAAGAAGTCATCCAACCGTGGGTTTCAACGGAACTTTTCTCGGTCGGGTGTTACGCTGGTTTCTAAGAATACGAAAATTGGAATCGGTTCGGGCTTATACCTATGGGGGGGTACAAGGCGTTTTGGGGTTTGTTTTCACACTTTGGTCGGGAGCTTCTGGCGGATGAGGCTCTGGACCGAAAATGGGAATTGACACGACTTTTCTTTTGATTGGAAAGGCTGTTGGGCTTATTGATGGAAGTTTAGAAGGCGGAGCAGATGTGACGGGGGATGGATCTGGCCCATCTCTGGTGGTGGTGGTGGTGGTGTGTGTCCTGTATGATTAGCTTGATGACACTATATCATGATATACCCAAACACGAAATGACGGTATAAGGCTGTCTATTTTGCACATCTTATCACAGAACCAATATGCGTGTGATCGCCTCGACATGACATGGCTTATCACCAAATCCTAGCACCTCGCACCGACGATGGCAACAGCCAGCCATTGTGCAGGATACCCGCAATGGCGCATGGGATGGCGTTACGCCCCCTCGGCGGGCCACAGGATGGCATTTGCTAATTGCCATGTCCTCACGGGGCCCGGGCGAAGTGACGGGCAGGAGAGGGGAGAGGGGAGGGCAGGAAGAAAGAAAAAGAGGCGCGCTACCAGACGCAACTAGCAAGCTAGCGGGAGAGAGGGGGTGGAGGGCCAAGAAAGGTGCCCGCGCTGCTCTCCAAGGTAGTTTTTTGTCCAAACAGCAACCAGCACACCTTGCAGAATGACGACGTTGGGCAGGACCGGCGGGCCAATGCCAGGCCAACCCCCACCCCCCTCCACTCCCCTCCAACCCCATCTAGGGCCTAACTTTTTGCCAGTCACTCGGTTTATGTGACAAGGATCGCAGACGTATGTACATTTGTAGTTGGAGAAAAGAAGGTTGGGTGGGTTGGTGATGGCCAAATCAGACATCCCGAAGTGAGGCTTGCAAATCCCTGCAGGGTCCCCCGGGGACCAAATTGAAGAAAAAGAAAAGAGATTTCTGCTAGGGAAGGGAAAGGGAATAGGCAAGGTAAACGGAGGGTGTGGGATCGAGCGAGCAGGCTTTCCCCATGTCCCGTGTGTCTTCTTGGCGTTGTGTGTGTGGTGGTCTGGTAGGTATGCAATCTCATGGAAATGGGCAAATTGGAGATGGGGGCATGGCAAAAGGCGGAGCTTGTACCTCTTTTTTCTTCTCTGGTCTCGTTATCATTTTGTTGTTCGTGCTTTGTCTCTACGCTATTTTACAGAGGGGAACGGGGGGGAGGAGGAGGAGGGCGGAAGGAAGGAAGGAGAGGGTGGAGGGTCTGTCACTCTGGCTAATGCGTGTGGGAAGTCAAGTGTGTGCTTTTTCCTGCCCGCCAAGCAGCCAGCGAGACAGGCGTTGCTGGCTAAACTAACATCAGAGGGAGAGACAAGAGAGAGGACGCTAATACGCACTGGTCGGCGTGAGCAAAAGGGCGACCTGGGGGTTCCAGGGATGGGCAGAATGGGGAAAGGCTCGGCGTTTCAGAATGTTTCCCATCATTTCCGCACGGGGAGGAAGCGTACCCGTAAGGCGGGAGAGGGCCCAGGACCGCGACAGGCTGGACAAGCTTTGTGGGGGTGGGAGAGGGTCTCCAAAAAAAAGGGCTTCCCGGGGGTGTGTGTCTGTGTGTCTGGCTGCCAAAAGGTATAATTTTCTTAAAATGTTTGCTCCTCTTTTTTTTTTTTGCTACTAGGGACTACCAGGGGGGGTTCAAATTGCTCAATCGGGAAGAATGGCCAAATCCAAGGGTAGGGAAACGATGGAAAAGACGTGATTGCACAATTACAGCCAGCTCGGATGATTGGGGACCGCAGAGAAAGAAAGGAAAGAAAAAACGACAAGAGATAAAACCCTTCCCAAAACTAAATGAACCTACGTCATTCGGCGCATAAGACATGTATGTTTGTGATAGCAGGGATGGAGAACCAGAGACAACATGATAGATAGCACACTACCTACCTTGGCAGGCAGGCAGCAGCCCATTCTCGTTGTTATTGTTTCTTTTCATCGCTGCCTTTTAGCTTTCTTTTTTTCACATTTCATGTTGGATGTCGTCAATGTGGGGAGGGCAATAGGGGTGATGCTTGCTTGGTTTCGATCCAGCAGGTGTATTAATACTTGCTACAGATGGAGCCGGAATATGGGCGGAACGAGTACCGTGACATGAAGGCCTGGTGGAGACGATACGGTGTACGGGTTTGCTGTGACACAAGTTCTATCTCACGCATACCTGCAAGGAAAGTTGCGGTAAATGCTGTTAAATCGAGTATGTCCGTGTATACACAGCCTCGTGCTGCTCCTGCGTGTCAACTTTGTTACGAGTATCATGTATGATGATGGTGTATGAGACGGCTGGTATGTGGGCAGGGATTGGGGTCGTGCGTGTCAGCGCCATTACGTTGGTGGCAGCCCATCGCGCCTCTTGGGGGGAGGGGGGGCAAAAGCAAAAGGGCTGGCCGGTCAAGGCTGTGGGAGTGACGATGGGAGATACCTCCATCTCGGGTGATGCTAGTTGGTAGCCTGGTTCTATCTCATTACACTCGGTTTCCACAGGTGCTACATCGCAATGTAAACACACAGCTCCACCTGTTCGTTTTCGCATCGCTGGCAGAAAAAAAAAATCCATGAAGCTGTATAGAGACGATCCGGGCCACGCCAGCTGCCGATACGTTGGTGGTGAACGTTGGGCGTTTCCCCGGTTTGCACTTGTTCTGCTGATCGCCGCTGATGTCACATAAGATCAGATCTGCCACTGACGTCGCTTGGCAGTTTGAGATGGGAGAAGAGAGTCTGACTACCTTAGCGCACTTGGCAACGCCCGAGGAACACTGCAATGGACATGCAGACGGGCTGCCGGCCAGCGTTGCTTCCGGTGTTAGCCCAGGCCGTGCCCCTCCCCTTTTTTCCTCTAGAGTAGAGTTGCATCGCAGGCTGGCCCAACCCATGCGATCCAGTTAAAAGCCCGATGACGGATAGATGTGATGGAGAATGAAACAGACGTGCTGCAGTGTGTCAAACCCAGCCAACGACAGGGCTGGAGGCGTGTGTGTGGTGTAGCGTCGCTCGAGAAAAAAGGGGGGACCTGGCCTGCCAAAGTCCCTGTAGAGCACAGTCTTGCGCTGAGAGCATGTAGCCCACCCACACACTGAGGCACCTGGGCGGCGTGTAGGTACTTTTCCCAACAGCGCTCCAAATCTGCCGGTACAAACATGGTTCACACTGTGTGGGACGCTCTAGCCGGGGAGGTACATCAGACCGTGCGCGCACTGTCCTCTATCAAGCGCGGTGGACTTACTAGCACTTAGGCTCTTCTTAGGTGCTTGTATATATAGAATCAGGACGGACGCACAGCCTCAAGCGGCGAAAAAAGATACAATTGACGTCGTTGATGCAGAAGCCTCGTGCGCAATGGTCATGGAGGCGCTACACGGCTCCGTATCCCAGCCTGCTATCGCGCTGCTTGGGGGGGTAGAACTGGCAGCGCTGGACCAGCCCGGCTTCGAGATGAGCCTAGTTAGTATGCATACTCTGGCAGACGCCAGCCCATTCTGATTTTCAGGGTCCTGCTGGTTTCGGGGCAAAGCCGGTGGGTATTTGGGCGAACTGCCGAGGTTGGCTGACCTAGGCGCCAGTGCCAAGTTCTGCCATGGCTTGCCCTAGGCGAAGATCTGGGTAATTATCGAAATAGCCCGTACCGCACCGTACCGACGATATGCTGCCGCGGGCACGAGAAAAAATAAACATGTTTGGCCATGCAGGCCGGTCCCATGCATCGTCTCCTTCCGCCGGGGCGATTTACATCATGCGCATACGAATCGCCAGCTGCAACGGTTCGTATCTGCTCCCATGTGCCATCAATGCTGTTCCCCCCTCTTTCCGTCGCCATCCAGCGTGTGATTGAAGCCCGGCAATCGCATTACCCAATGCGGTCTTGTTCACGTGCTATTCCCTGTATGGGCATTCCGTGGTCCGCGGGGGGCGACCCATTCCCTAGCTACCTAGCTCTGTGGGTGCTGGCCACGATGAATGGAGGTTCTGCTCCAGGCGTCTTTTGCTGCGGTAGCGTGCCGTGTAGCTCGCAGGTCCATCAGCCGTCCAAGGGGTCGATCCAAGGGCCAATCGCAGCATACATGTCTGTGTGCATGTTGCGTGCAGCAGTCCCTGCAAAAGTTGTGTTCAAAGGTTCAATAGTAGACCTGTAGCGGGCGCCTGTCTTGCACCTTCAGGCGCGGTGAGAGGGCAGCGGGCTGGTTGGCGCTTGCTGGTGGATGCCCAGGGGACCGCACCTAGGTCAGTGGCGCCTGAGTCGGCTTGAGGTTTACCCTGTTTGTGACGTCACTGGCTTCGAGGAAGGATGGAAGCGACGACGGGGACCACCTGCTCAGGTCTCACTGGCCCGGGCTCCCCTGGAAGGTGCACCTGGCCCAAACGTCATTCCAAGCCGCGCTAACTGACCCGTAAGGCAACCAGGTGTGCGGTTAGACAAGCAGGCGGGGATGAGGGAGGGTGCGGCCTTCATTTGAGCTCTGGGGGTGAGCT